TGTACAACATTTTTGTCAAAGAACCTTTTCACTTCAGCTCTGTTAGTAAATCCCCAACTCTTTGCAGCTTCATTGAACTTCTTAAATGACCTCCATGGATGTTGTTCGAATACTTCTTTCAAGCTCATTTATGTAAAGTTAAAGATTTTAAGCTGTACGGTACCATGCGAATACAGTCACAAATGGTGGCATATAATCTGCACCCGAGCCTGTTGGATTTGTTGTGAAAGTGTGTGAATGATTTCCTCCTGGTTCAGTTGGTCGAAAAATCTTTTTTGCTGCATTGTTATAAGATGGAGATAAAACGTCATTGCCAGCTTCATAGTCTGAGTTGTATAATGGGTGGTCTCTTAATGAGTGGCTATGGTCGCCAGAAAAGTTTGTCGTTCCTGTATGAGTGTGCGGTGGAAGGTTTGCTTCTTTAATTTTCTTCGAACCTCCTGTTTGCTTTGAATATCTAGCACAGTATAAGAATTTATCTACAATCTGCTTCCACGTACCAAAACCTAAAACTGTTTCTGGATTTGTTGAATTCATTGACGTAGAAATAGAGCCTATAGGATATAATGTTTGAAGTATTTCAGTCTTTAATGTTTGAAGCTCTGTTTTGTCGGCTTTCTTATCTAACATTTTTGGTAGTTCATATGCTTCAAAGTTTCTGACATGACCTTCAATGTTCATACATTTACTATTTAAGGAGTTTAGTGTATCTTTTACGCTTGTACTTGGATTCTCTAAAGGTGCACTCGAACCAAGGGTATAGTTCAATATTATGTCGTCTGCTCTAACAGTAGTGAAGGATTTATGTGTATGGTTCTTGTCAGCTTTACTATTTAATGTAGCTTGAAGTTCATTTATATCGGAGATATTGTGTTTATGAGATTTCAAAACTTTGTTCGTTGCGTCAAGTTCATCTTTGTCAGCTTTACTTTTAATAGCATCTTCAAAAGTTATTTTTGCCTTAACTCTCAATGTAAATCTTGGTTCAACTAATACACCGTTAACAAAGAAGTATGAAGCATAAATTTCATTGTTATAACCAAATGCTTCTGGTGCTTTACCTGTGTCATACTGTACAGTACAGTGTATGTCATAAACTTTAGCACGAATGAATTTATATCTTCTTTCATTAACATCTTCCGTCTTCATTTCTTCTTCAGTTCGTGTTAAATATCCATGGTAGTCCGTTATAATCTGTTCGTCTGAAGTTATATAATGAACATGGTTTTTATCTGCTTTTTCGGCTAATTTCTCTTCTATCTCATTTATTTCAAGTTCATGCCTACCACCACCTCCCGAAGAAGTATTTTTCTTCAGCTCTTGAAGAACGTCCACTTCGCCATCTTTGGTGTCAATAATGAGACTTTGAGTTAAAACCTTTCCTGTCTTAATGGATGTTTGTAAAACTTCTTCTTCACCGTGTTCGGGTCATGGTCGTCATCATACTTGTGAAATCAGAGATGTTGTCATACATTAAGCATATCTGTCTCAAAAGTTCTGCTATTTGAAACTGGAACGAAAGATATACAGAACTTTCATCATCTCCTAAAGTCAAGTCTGCTTTCTTAAGTATTTCTTGAATGTATGCAATGAGAACAGAGTACCTTGGAAAATATTCGAACAATATTTCATTAGCTGTTGGTTTTGGTGGTTCTTCTGGAGTTTCTGTTGTTTCAGTTCCTTCTGTAGGTTCTGTTGGAGTTTCTGCATCTCTTGACTTCAATGCTCTTGCTCTCAAAGACCTAATGGTTAGAGCACCAGGTTTTACAAAGGACTTTATAAATGCTTTAATAGTTCCTGGTAAGTTATTGTTAGCATTAAGTAAGTTCCTTATGCTTCCATCATGTACGTCCATAGCACTATGTAAAAAATCTATACTTTTCTTGTAGTCAGCAATAGACTGACTGTGATTTTTTAAAGATTTGTTAATACCTTTAAGCCAATCTTCATGCATGTCTGATACTGAGCCAAGAATATCATTTGCTTCCTTTAGTGTATTTTGTGCTTCTCGTAAAGTATCCAATCCCGTACGTGCATTGTTTGCTATACGTCTTACAGTATCTATTTGACTCCTTGTTTCTTGCATCCAACCAGATAAAGTTTTAATAGTATCCGAACCATTTGAAATGAAGTTCAAAGCATTTTTAACGTCATCTAAAACTTCTTCACCAAGTACTACCCATATCTTTCCGATTTGGTATTGAAGAACTCCATATGAAGCAGCTGTTAAACCAGTATTTATAAGGTTCCATATCCATGATTTAGCAGTTTTTCCATCCTTTCCATCTTCACCATCCAAACCGTTTTCGCCTTGAGGTCCTTGTATTCCTTGTATTCCTTGTATTCCTTGTGGTCCTTGAGGTCCAGTGTCACCCTTCTCTCCTTTCAGTTCATCTTTATGTTCGTTATAATATTCTAATGTCATAAGGTGTACATCATTACTGCTACCAGCAACGCCAAGAATTTGTTTCTCATTCATGACTAAATTCTTTAGGCATTTAATGTTGTCGTCAAATCGAAAGCTCTTTAACAATTCAATGAGAACATTTAATACTTTCACTAATGAGGCATCTACTGTAGAATTTATATATTGCACCGTTCCATCATTTATGATGGGAACCTTGCTTGTTGTAATGAATGGGTCATAAGTGTTAAAAGTATCGAAATCAATGACTTTTTTAGTCTTTCCATCGTCAATGACTAAATCATTGCCTTCCACTGTTAAAGTTGAGTTTTCGTTTACTAGTTCATGTGCTCTTCTTGCTTCATTTGTTTCATACGCATATGCAGCAATAGTCATATTTTAATGAGAATAAAATGTTGTTCTATTTGCAAAGTACAGACCCAAACGAATACGGGACAGTAAAGCTACAAACAAACTTAGGTCTTCAGAATGAAGCGCTTGCTTTCAGAGTTGTTGACTTCAATACTATTCGCAACTTTTGTCATAACAGATGAAACAGATTTCATAGAGATTGAAATAGATGACAAAAGAAGTGTTATAACATTTCCTAACAGAGCCGAGTACAGAATAGATAAAATTGCTGGAGTCATAGATACTCTCATAAATGAAGAAACTATTGACAACATAGATGTCGAACTCTCTTCTGAGGGAACATTGAAGTTCAGCAGCGAGAAAGAGTTTAAGATACCAAGAATGAGTCATAGAGTACAACTTCTTTTGGGTGCATACCATATGACATTTCCTTTGAAAAGTGTTGACAAAACGATTGAGATGAAATCTGTTCCATACGTATGTATGGTAATTGTTTATACATTGAGTCTAAAATAGCTAATGTCACAGGCATTTCAGGAGTTAATAGTAAAGGTTCAGTAGAATATAAATCCTTCTTTATGCAGTCAATTCAATGTTCATTCCAAACGTTCCTGTCATAGCAACTCATTTAGGTAAATGGTTCGCATTAGTCCTCATAATTTGAAAGACATGCAATTCAGACTTGTTGACTTTCAAGGAGAGCCTGTAGAACTGAAGGCACCAGTGCGAATGACTGTTGAAGTTGACTTTTTAGAAAATATTAAATGCAACAGCTTACAAGAGAACTCAGAGCTAAAAATATAAAGTATGAATGTTATGTATTAGGTCATGAACTTTGGTTGTTGCTGTTTGATGAAACAGATGAGTTAGTTATGTCAGTCAAGAGAACAGAAAAATATTGTGTTAGTGAAAACTGCACCAAGTCAATAAGATTAGGTTTGCATTATGAAGATGAGTTCGATACTGTTGAAGAAGTTTTGGATAGATATTACAAATTGCTAACTTGAAATTTTTTGACTGACGGCGCAAAGCGCCAAGACCGAGGGTCCTGACTGCTTTAATTTACTAAAACATATTTCAAACAAAGCTTATAGTCAGTAGATAGTTTTGTATACTCGTTCGAATATTTATACTTAAACTCAACTCCTGTAGTTCCTGGTGTTTCGATTATTCTAATATTACCTATTTTCATGAATAGTGGAGTTTGACACAGCATTTCGATTTCAGGTCGAGATAGTCAATGACACATTGCTTTCCTGTTATTCGTGAGATAACATTTTCAAGGTCCTCCTTTGTTAGAATTATTTGGTTCTTACTTATAAGATTTGTCAAAAGCTTCTTATCGTCTTTGAGTAAAATTGTTTGGTATAACTGAAGAAGGTAATGGTCTACGTTATCTGAAGGATTTGTTTGAACATTTGTGTAAGGGTTGTCGTTGGCTTCTCTTGAAAGAATTTGGTCCAGTGGTGGACACTCTAACTTAACATCTGATGTAGCGTTAGCGTTTGAAGCTGAGTTTAAATTCACCGACTTAAGTTCTGGTTCTTTTTTTCAAACACTCTGAACTATAGTTCTTTATGACAATATTGTTTGTCGTTCGTGAGTCAACATTTGATGTTGGTTCAATTGGACATTAACGGCACCAGCTAAGATGGATTTGCTTCTCATTTCATATAGAATAAAAACCTTTATATGTATGAAATGAACAATATACTCGACAAGGGTTTGAATGTAAAGCTAACGAATGAAAATATTGTTGAATTCACTGAGACAGGAGCTGCGTATAAAGATGTAGAACTACTGAACAAAAGAGCTAAGGGAAGAAGCAGAACATGAACAAAGGTGGAAGCCTATAAAAATTTATGTCAACGATGGCTCAGGAGGTTCAAACATAAAGTATGCAGAAAGTTATAGAGTTTATGCTCTCAAAGGTGAAAAGCCTTCATTTAAGAACAGCTATTCTAACGCATATCCTCAAAAGCTAACGGATGGAGAAGTGGATGATATGAATGACAGCAAAAATATTAACAAAAATGGCGACAGAGATGCATGGAATTTGTTTACCATCAGTCAATTAAAGGTTAAACTTTAAAACAATGTTGGTCGTTCCCATGGAATATTTTTGACTTTAATGGTATTAGTCATGATATGAATCTCAAGGTATGAACGAGGAGAGATGAGAGACTATATGCTTCCCAAATTTCTTCAAAAGGTAATGTTATACCTGACTGTTTCCAAATGAGTTCAATATCATAACGTGAGAAACCTTGAAAGATAACGAAGTCAGTTATGAGACGTTTTATGTTTAAAGCTAAAAACCTCCATGTTTGCATAAGTATTGCTACAGTTAAGTGGTAATGTCTGACTTTAGTAATGATGTTAGCTAATGGTGAGTCTGGTTTTGACACTAAACCTTTACCAGCGAAATCATCACAAACTAATAAAGTGTTTGATGGATACTTTTTGAAGGGGTATTTTGAAAGTTTTGACAGAATGTAGTTTGTAAGTCGTTTCATATCGTAAACTCCTGAGTATTGACGTAAGTGGTGTTTGTCAATAATTCTTTCCATCTCTTCTGAAGTCTTTTGCATTCCTGACTGTATAAATTCAACGATGGCATAATATTTCCTCTTACGTCGAATGTAATGTTGAAGAAATTCAATGAGTTCACTGTCTGGAACTTTAACGACAGAGGCTTGAACTTTTGACATAAATGTTTTCGCTGTTGAGTCCATAGAGTCTGAAGTTGCTGATATAATGATTTGGTCATAATATGAGTCATTTCCTAAACGCTCTGTTATGAGTATATGACGAATGAGGTTAAATGTCTTTCCTGAACCCATCTTTCCACAATAGAAATACACACCATTTGAACAGAATTCATAATCTTTGCTGAAAGGAAGAATAAGAGAAGAGTTAAGTTTGTCTGTAGTTTCATTCATGTCTTCATCTACATCATGTATTAAATGCTTCATTTTATCTCCATTAAAAATGCAAGTCAGAAATATTCAGAACATAGCACCGAGTCTAACTGACAAGAGTATAAAGATATACTATGAACATGTTATGTTGAAACCAACCAAAATTCAAGAAAGTCAGTATACTTATGAATATCCAAGACACTGGGTAGAGTATGTAGGAGGTGAGAAAGCTATTGAAATAAGACAAGTTAGAAGTATTCCAGCAGGAAGAACAATATTATTGAAGAACTTTAATGTTTTGAGGTATAATGATGAAACAAAGAAGCAAGATAGTTTTCCTGTTGCTGTGTATGTGAACCTAGACACAGGAGATGACATGAAAGTTTTTAACACAAAGCTTCAAACGGTAGTGAGAGAACAACTTACTGCGGAAGGACATCCATTACCTTCAGAAGTTACCATAGCATATAATTTTGAAACAAACTCAATAGATTTTAAAGTCATCTCTGCAAAGAAGTCAGGTTTTACATTTAATGAAGCAGATGTATATTCGAATGAAAACTTCAAAGCTATTGCATGGTTAGATAATGACGATTGCTTTAAGAAAATATTTAAATACAGTGACTCAAAGATGTCAATAGATGACCTTCGTGGAATGTTACCATCGACGTTTACAGTTGAAGGTTCAGCAGGATTGCTTACAAGATTGTCAATTGGTGGCATTTGGTCTCGTGAGAACATTGTTATAAAATCCAGTATAAGTGAATTTGCTGAAGAATCTATATTATGTCTTTCAAACTACATGTATTCGCCGCCGAAGCATTATAGTATAACAAACTTTGTCAGTAAGTTTAACATAAGACTTGTTGAACCTTCTTCAATGAAAGATGTTGTGCTACCTAAAGATGGAAAGGATGGACTCATTATTGAAATGATTTTAATTGCATATTAAATGAGCTTGTTCTTGAAGGTCATTCATGATGAAATAACTATTGTAGAAGATGTTAGCAATTGTTCAGACATTTTGAAGCGTATAGATGATATAAGAAATAAGTTAGATAGACCGCAAAGCGGTGAGGGCGAAGCCCGTGAGAATGTTTATGTTTCATTGACTTTCTCCAGTAACGAGAACTTTTATGAGATAATATTGAAGAGAGATGATTTTAATATGGGGTAAATGGTAGCTTGGGCAGCTTTAGGCGCAATGGGAACAAAAGCATTAGCATTTGGAGCAAAAGCACTTGGAGCTTATGACGCAGTAAATAAAATGAGTGGAGGAAGGGTTTCGAAGACATTAGATGCAAATAAAGGGAAGATTGGAGGCTGGGTTGCAAAGAAGTTAAGATTAAATAAAATAGGGCTCATAAATAAAGCATCCAATTTAGTTGCGACTGAGTCAGAAAATGCTTTAGGAAAGGACGATGAGTTTGCAAAACACGCAAAAGACTTTAATGACCAGATGAAAGGTGAAACAATGCATTTAAATAGAGTCGATGGAACTAAAGAAAATGTTTCTTCTCCACCAGCGGTTTATCCATACGGACCTTATGGAATGTATGGAAACCCTTACGAAAGACCATTTGACCCATTGACTGGTGGAAGTAACTGGTATCATTACGGCCGAAGAAGAAAGACAGTCAAGCTGGAGACAGACGTGAAGAAAGCAACTAAAAAGAAACCAAGGAAGAGAGTTATAAAGCAATGAATTCAACAGGGTGAAAAAAACAGGTGAGAAAACGGGTGAGATCTCACCACTTCACCTAAATTTATTTTTGTGCTATGTTTTCATACGTGTGAGGGTGGTGATATCATTAATTTTTAAGTTTATTTTTTATTTTATTTTTATATAAATGACGAAAACTATTGAGATAACAAACTACAACGGTCATGAGTTCAAGAATTTGTTCTTCGTTCCTCGTGAAAATACATTCTATCAGATACGAGGGAGAAAGGGTAAAGTTAGTTTGAGCGTTTACGACAACAAACATAATGGGAGATATATAAAAGCAATAGATACAAACGGTAAGCGTGTTTCATTAGCTTTGTCAAAACTTACATACATTTATTTTGACAGTGATTTTGACTCTGACGATTGGAGTGACAGCAGCGATACTGAAGAATATGAACTATTGTGTGAAGCACAGCAATGGGAAGCGCTGCAATACTTTTGTAAATGAGAACATTAGTGGGAACGTTAGTGTGAACGTTTATTTTTTCATTAGTGAAGTCGTTTGTGTTGTAAAATATACGTTAGCGGTTTTGTAAAGTGTCAAACTGTTATCTTGGGTAAGGTGGAACGCAGTGCCGCCGTACCCAAGATAGGGATACTAACTAAAAATCCATTCGAAATTTGAATTGACATAATTTCTTCGATTTCTGGTGGATGGTTTTCTGAATATACGAAGCCAGAGCCACCTCCACCGGGTGCTCCGCCAAATAAGCCACCGCCGCCACCCCCATAGTTTTCTGCGTCATCTGCACCATTGTCATAAGACGAAATGGTGGAAGTGAGGTGAACTCAAAAAGTGACACATATTTGGCCGGCTAAATTTCCCTTTAGTTTACATGTCAAAATTACAATAAATTAATTATTTTGCTTAGCAATTAGCTATGTATTAAAACTAAAATTATTACTATTCAATTCTTTACATTCAAATATTAAACAATTCAAATTTAATAACAAAGATATTACAATAAATAAAAAAAATGATTAAAAATGTCCCTGAAAATTTTCTGAAAGCTATCTCGTGTTTAGGTCTCAATTTTTTTTAGAAATAGAAAAAGATTGGATTTAACTTTCAAACATTATATATAGTTTTGTATATGGAAGCCTTTAAATACAAGTTAATGATATGGAGTTGTATTGCGAGGAAGAGGGAATCAAAGAAATTGACGAAGTTCCAGAATTTTATTCAACAATTCTTAATCAATTAACAAAAACTATACCGAAACTTATCTTACCATCCAAATCAAATCACATTACATACGGAATAAACATTTAATCTTTTACCATTAAAATTATATTTATACGTTATTTAATTTTTTTACGTCTAAGTTGAATAGGATAATAGCCGAAGATATAAAGTAACTATAGTTTACAAGCTAAGGAACAAATCAGCATTGAAACTAAAAAATGCTGAAATATTATAATAAATTGAAGAAATACTGTGATAGAATACCTAGTTATACTAGATACTATTATAAAGTCTTTTCAGGGGGGTTATACCGTGATATTAGCCTTGTACCGAAAAAAGTGACGGGCAATACCGTCAAATTATATTTTCTTAAAAAATTTTTGGTGGAGAATTGGAAAATTTTTGTTGGAAAATTGGAAAATTTTCCTAATCATTTGGACTATAACCTGGCATATTAGGGAGTTTTGTCATCAACTCAGTGCTGGGATCAAGATAGTTTGTAATCAAAAAGTAGAAACGTTCCTTGGTGTCTTGTTCTGGCTTCCTGCAAAATCTGTGATTTGCATGATTCTTCTTAATATTGTCAGAAATTGCGCAAATCATGTCCATCGTCGTCAATTCTTCACCATTGATGTTAAAACGATTTCGATTACGGTAATTTCTTTTCTCTTGCAATTCTTTTTCTGCAGGAGTCAATTCACGAACATACTTATTATGTTTGAGAGCTTCTACAGAACAAGGGCAAAGACCGCAGGCGGCAGCAGCATTTTGAACCATTCTTAATGATACTGATTCTTGCCATGCGCTAATAAATGAGTAGATAATGGCGTAGCGCATCATTGCAGCATTGCTGTTGAACTCTTGCTTCGGTGCCTTAATGTAATCTCTCAGATAATCCGTGAATTTGGACTTTAATCTTTTGGCAATGCCAACATCAAATACTTGTAAAATGTGTGTTGTATGTGCGGGAAGAACAATTAATTTGATGTTGGCACTTGCCAAAAGGAACAATGCCAGAGGATTCTCGCGGCTGGAGTGTCCATCACACACAATGAGAGCAGGCTTGTCACGTATATCTTCTGGCATTCTCTGGCGTTCAAAGTTAAGCCACTCGATGAAGAAAATGCAATACAATAAGAATACACTTCTGTTCACCCAGCCTTTTGGCGTAGAAGTAAACCAACAATGTCTTTCGCGCTGGAATACTTTCAGTTCTCTAGGTAGTTCTGCAATACATGGGAGAACAAAGAGAGGTGGGACAGATTTGCCTGTCATTGAGCATCCGCATAAAGCTGTAATGTGCGGAAAGTTTGGAATTCCTTTGGCGATCATATGCTCTATCTCCTCAGGTAATGCAACTTTCTTCTTCTTAAATTTGTTTATGAATGTTTCATCGATACTAAAAATCAACTCCTCTGGAGTACTTTCGATTGTTTCACGATGTTTATCGTAGAATTCTTCGATAATTCTTGGTTCACACGCCATGTATCTTGATTCTTCAATCTCTTGGCATGCATTAAGCTTGCAATGCAATTGCTGTAAAATATGGTTAACATAAGGTCTCGATACATCATCACCACCAAGAGTATTGATAACTTCTTCTGCAAGAGTAGGACAATTAATCTCAAGAAGGAATCTGTAACCATAATCTCTTCTGAGCTCTTTCAACTTGAACGCCTCGTCAATAATGTCAGCTGCTTCTAGAGCTTCACCTTTGTAAGCAGAATCTTCGATAATTTCTTTTAAAGTGAGCTGATCACGCTCGCATAGGTATGGATCTGCACCACCATGATTCCCTTTTTCCCAGTATAGACCTAATGCAGCTCTTTTAAGTGCAGTAGCAATGAGATTGGATGTTAAAGTTCCGAGATCTGGGTATTCTTCCTCCCATGCAAGCTTAGTTTGACTATATGTCATACCTTCGGCGCGACAATTGATGATAAACTTTTGTTGTCTACCAAGAAATTCGACTGTGAGAAATTCCATTTTTAATTTTAAACGAGCACT